CTCGGTGCCCGGACCTGGACCTACATCGGTGCGGCGGGTTCCGACGGAGGCCTATGAATTTGTCGCTGTTGGCCCCGGGGGGTCACTGTATGTGGTCGCTGGTGGGGATCTTCCGGTTCTCCCCTGTGGTCTGTTCTGGGGGGTGGGTGAGTGGTTCATCCTGTGTGGGTGGCCATGGGGGCTCCGCGGTCAGGGTCCCTCCTGGGGTCTTGGGCTCTGGTCCCCCCTTTTTCGTCTGCCTCTGGTCTTGGGGGTCAGGTCTCTGCTGCTTCACAGTTACTATTAAATGTTCTATTAGAGAAGCATTATACACTTATGCATGCTCACAACCACACACAAATAGAAGCAGGGATGCTTATGTAGGCTTTATATGTAGATATATAGATATGTATATGAATGTATATTCATGTGTATGTATGTATGTATATAGGCGTAGGTATGGGTATATATATTTATGGAAACTTACTGCAAAGCCATGAATATTTTAAGTTCTTTATACATATGTATTTTGTTGCTGTGTTTTGTCATGTTCTTTGCAGGTGAACAGACAGTGGCCGGGTGTTTTGCTGTGTGCTCTCTTTGTGAATATTTCTTATATTTTGGAGTCTTACTTTGTCTTTTCTTTCTTTCTATCCTAATAAAAAAATAAATAAAAATAAAAAAACCTACACTAGATAGTCACTAGAATAAATATTTCATAATAAGGGTGTGGAGAGGATGGCTGTAAGGGGAGAAGGGAGGCCATCAAAAAAAATAAAAATAAAAATTGGCCCCAGCCTTTAGTTCAGCCAGACAATCTTCTCTCAGGTAAGACACTGCCTAATTATGGTCACTCAAGCAGGCTGTGAGAGTCCACCAACGCAGGACTGAGCAGAATGAGGACAGCTGGGAGTGCACCTGTAAAACCACAAAATAAAATACTATTAGCAAGATCGTTGAGAAGATCAAGATCGTGCGACAACTTCTTACATTTCTTTTTGGCAAAAATTGCGACCACCAGGGCTCTCATTTCCCCTCCTACTCATGACCCATCCATCCCACCTCAATCTGTAGCTCCATTTGACCATTTTGAGCCCATCACTCTATCTTCTCTAGAGCAGGTCATGTGCAGCTTGAAACCTTCTGGTTCCCCCTTTGATGTGGACCCCCCTCGACTACTAAAGGAGGTTTTTCCCACTCTAGGTCCGTCCATTCTTGATATAGTAAACAGTAGTTTATCCACGGCAGCACGGTGGCGCAACTGGTAGAGCTGCTGCCTCTCAGCAAGCAGGTCCCTGGTTCAAACCCTGGTCCAGGGGCCTTTCTGGGTGGAGTTTGCATGTTCTCTCCGTGCATGCGTGGGTTTTCTCCGGGTACTGCGGTTTCCTCCCACAGACCAAAAACATGCATGTTAGGCTGATTGGTAACTTTAAATTGTCACTAGGCGTGAGTGAGCGAGTAAATGTTTGTTTGTCTCGTTTGTCTCTATGTGGCCCTGTGATGGACTTGCGACCCATCCAGGGTGTACCCCGCCCCTCGCACAGTGATTGCTGGACATGGGCACCGGCGACCCCTGTGACCCAAAATGGAATAAGCGGGTAAAGATAATGAATGGATGGATGGATAGTTTATCCATTGGCGTGGTGCAAAAATCCTTTAAACATGCTGCTGTCCAGCCTCTCCTGAAAAAAACAAACCTTGACTCCTCAGTCGTGTCCAACTTCCGGCCTGTCTCCAAACTCCTATTTGTTTCTAAAGTACTGGAGAAAATAGTCGAGTCCCAGTTGAAGTGCTTCCTAGAAGGTCACACCATCTTAGAGCTATTCCAATCTGGCTTTAAACCTCTCCACAGCACTGAAACTGCCCTGCTGAAGGTCTTTAACGACATCTTCATATCCACAGATACTGGTGATTCTGTGCTGCTTGTCCTGTTGGACCTCACAGCCGCCTTTGACACCATCGGCCATGAGATCCTCATTGCTAGGTTGGAGCAGTGGGTGGGCGTCACAGGGTCAGCCCTCAATTGGTTCAGATCCTACCTCACTGACAGATCCTTTTGTGTCTCCATCAAGGATTTTAGTTCCGCAGAGGCAGAGCTTAAATGGGGGTTCCGCAGGGGTCCATCCTGGGTCCCCCCCTATTCTCTTTATACCGGCTGCCGCTTGGTGCTATTTTCTGGAAACACAACATGCCCTTCCACTTCTATGCCGATGACTGTCAAATTTGTTTACCCCTAAGACACAACGGTACATGCTCTATTCAACCGCTGCTCGACTGCCTGGCTGACATTAGGGACTGGATGGCTTTAAACTTCTTAAGTTTCAATGAAAAGAAGTTTGAAGTCATGCTGTTCCCTCCCAACGACAGGATCACAAACCACTGCATTGACCTCTCCGCTCTAACCATGTCAGAAAAACAAAGAGTAGACTAGTGGTCATTCCGTATGTTGCTGAAGGTTCAGAGAAACTGAGACGTTTATTTTCTAAACACAGTGGATTTCAAACCCCAAAATACATTACGGCAAAGACTGGTCTATCACAAAGATCCAGTCCCCCGGCACAAACAGAGTAATATTGTGTATGCTGTTTATTGTCAGGAGGGCTATGATCAGTCTTACATTAGGGAAACTAAACATCCAAGGATGGCCCAGCACAGAAGAGCAACATCAAAATGCCAGGACTCTGTGGTCTACACTCATCTCCAGGCCAGTAGCCACTCTTTCAGGGATGAAGATGAATCAGCCTTGATAGAGAGGAACAATGGTTTTTGTCTAGCACTCATTAAGGCAGGGCACCAGATGGTTCATTGACCAAAAACAACAAAATTAATTTATTTACCCTTTAATAATCAGAACTCAGTCACTGAACTAGAATCCGTTAATTACACGGAGTCCTATACCATAACAAATTAAGATTCATCTGAATGATAAGAACAGTTGTCCTTTATTTTTATTATTTCATTCATTTACAGTTTAAAATAAATATGCCACATGTTGACATAAAACAAAAGTTCTGAATGAAAAGGAGTAGTTTGCAGAAAAAAAATCTTATATAGTCTACCCCTTTTCCCAAAAAAGTAAATCTACTATACCACAAGTAACCAAGTTTCAAACAACCATCCATATAGACACATCTTTGAACATAAAATAGGCACTGTAAAGAAAAACAAGCCAATAAACAAACATTATATTTCATTGTACCTTAAAAGAAAATCATTTTTTATTATTTTCTTAAAGTAATAATAGATCTATTCTCGTTGGTTTCTGTAGACAGATTGTTCCACAGATTTGTTCCATAAACAGAAATACAATGATCCATTTGTTTAGTTCTGAATTTGGGTTTTTTTAAATCTATGATCCTCTCAAATTATAAATGCTGTCTCTTTTAATAATTTTTTTTGCAAACACATTGGTAACATACTGGTATGTATTTAAACATAACTTGTAGAATATAATAGTCCACCAAGTTGAGAAATTTCATTAATTTTAAGTTACAGAACAATGGATTTGTTGGGTCTCTGTGGTTTTCCACTTATAATTTTAACAGCTCTTTTTTGCAAAATTAAAAGAGAATTTGTATACGATTTTCAGGCATTCCCCCAAACTTCAGCACAATAGGTCAAATAGGGAACGATGAGTGAATTATACAATATCAACAATGCATCATCATTTAATGAGTCTTTCACTTCATATAATAATGATGCAATTATCCTTGATATTTTTATTTTTAAATTATTATTATTTAAATTAATATGTGGTTTCCAGTTTATATTTTCATCAAGAGTAACACCAAGGAATTTGACCTCTGTCACATGCTAAATCACAACCCCATCGACCATGCATGCACAAAAAGAACAGGCAAGTTCCACCCAGAAAGATCATCGGCTGGGATATGAAACGGCGACCTTCTTGCTGAGAGGTGGACGCTCTACATACTGCACCACCATGCCATCCTGCATTTAAAATCCATCCATCCATCCAAGTGTCCCTGGGCAATAAACTGAACCCCTCATTGCCTCCGTTGTGTAGGAATTGGTGTAAGAATGTGCTAAAGTTCTGATTTGTTTTTTTGTATAGAGTGATGTATGTATTAAATGAGGGCACAGACTGTAGTGTAAAGTGCTTTAAGTATCTTGATCAGATAGAAAGATGCTATATTTTATTATTCATATATTTCCATTTCAGGTCTCTCTTGTAAATGAGTCCTCAAGGCTCAATGGGATTAACCTGTCTAAATAAAGGTAAGTACAGTCAATTTACACCCTAGACATCCATCACAGAGCCACATAGACAAACAACCATTCCATCCCAGGTGGCAGCTCTACCAACTGCACCACTGTGCCACCCTGCATTTAAAGTCCTAAAAGGAAATCATATTTATCATAACTTCATTAAATATGAAAGAAAACAAGCAGTGGTAAGGGAAATCAGAAAGAATGTGAGAAAATATTGGAGACACTTTTATAATAGTACTGAAAAAGAAACAAAAATAAAAATAGGAAAATGAAAAAGAATGAACTCTTCAGTCATCAAGAAGGAATATGGTTATCCAGTATTAAATGATAATCGCTCAGAAATAGTAAATGGTAAAGAAAAGTCTGAAATATAAGCAACAGCATTTAGCAAAATTCTTAGTTCCAAAAATATTAATAATAAAGGAAAGAAATAAAGAGAAACTACAATGGTAAAATACAAAGATTTGCTAAAGAATATTGATGAAACTAACCATTTTTGAATGAACCAGAAAGCAGAACGTAGCTGAGAACTCAGGAAAACAAAACAACAATAACAAAACAGCTTCCACAAAACATCAGATTTGGCATCATGATAGACCATTTAGCGAAAAATTCCAATAAATCATCTCACAACAAAGTCTGGGAAATGGGGGAGATGCCATAGCCAAAACTATCTATTATTGCTCAAAAAGTTACAATTTCAATCGAGATAGTCCAACAGCTTATTAGTTGCCAGTACTTATTCATGCAATGATAGACTTGTTTCAGCTTTTCAGAACTTAACTCTGTTAAACGAGATCAAAGTTTGAACAGTCCATTTGAAATATTTTCCGAGAAATTATAATTTTGAATGCTGACCTGAACCAGTGATAAAAGAAAGCATAAATGAATGGATTGAGCATTGAATTAAACAGTGTGAGCCAGTTAAGTGTTTCATACACTGGCACTGATACACCACCTAACAGCTGCAAGGAAAAACAGAGAAAGAAAGGCAGCCAGCACATTAGAAAAGCACCCAGAACTATAGCCAGGGTTTTAGTGGCCTTCCTTTCCATGTTATTTACAGTTGCCACAGATTTAATTGTGTTCTGGATGCTTCGTGCCTGTTTCTGTGCAATAAAAAATATCCTCAAGTAAATATACAAAATTATGATCACAGGAAGGTAAAATGAAAAAACAGGTGGCAAAATCTTTTCAATCACAACATCATAAAAACAGTTTTCTTTGCATTTTTCTTGGTTTAAATCTGCAATGACAAAGCCAATAGCAACCAAGATAGAAAGACTCCAGCTCATAAGGATCATGATTCCAACAACATGGACATTTATCTTTGTTCTGTATATCAGAGGCTTACACACTGCATAGTATCTGTCTACAGAAATACAACATAAATTGAAAATAGACGTTGTGCTCAATATAACATCAAAGCTGTCTCGAATTTTGCAGAATACGTTTCTATAATAGAGACAAGAGCTAAGAGAGAAAGACATGCTCAGAGGAAAGACCACTATTCCTACTAGCAAGTCTGCCACACCCAGAGAGATGATGAGGTAGTTCGACATTGTGTGGAGCTGTTTGAAGTAAATGATAGAGATAATTACAAGAAGGTTTCCACATACTGTGACAACAGAGAGTAACCCAAGGATAATGTATAGTAAAACACATACTGTGGTAGAAGTCCTTGTCAGTGTTTTAGAAACATTATTTATTTCATAGCAAGGATGGAAGTTATAACCAACATAAAACGATTCTTCTGCCATTGCATTCATAGCTACATAGAATGTGGGTAACGTATTTAATTAAGTTGATTCAAAGAACATTTTTGTAAAGAATGCACAAGATGGACAAAGTTCTTTTTCTCAGAGAAATTCTTTTAATCTCAAGCAGCTTCCTACTGTAGCCACATGACACCAGCACATCAGTGTTATTGCCTGATGACTGCGCAGCAGCATCACTTAGTCTTGGTTCATCCTCTCTCCCATTTCATTATCAAAAACTCATCCAATAAGAAGAGGGCAAATTTTGGAATGTATTGTTTTATTGTCCTAAGCCTGTATGTGCCAAATATCTAAAGAAAATTTGTGCTACCATATTTTTTTCTCCAGAATTATGATTTTTTTCCAAAATTCTAAGATTGAAGTCAGAATTTTGACTTTAATCTCTAAATGTCAGAACTCTATGATATAATTAATTCTGACTTTTTTTTTCAGAAGTCTGATTTTATTCACAGAATTTGAAAAATAATGTCAGAATTCTAAGATTAAAGTCAAAATTCTAAGAATAAAACCAGAGTTCTAAGAAAGTGTCAGACCTCGAAGATTCTGAGTTTAATTACTTTAAGTATTCTGACATAATTCTCTGAATTCTGAACGATCAAAGTCAAAATAAACAATTATTTTGGGCCTAGTCAGCCTGTTGTACAAATGCAATGGGGGATTTGATTTTAAAAAATTGTTTATAAATTTATCTGTTTATGTATTTATGAAATGGTAAATTAAGTTAGGCAAATCTAATAAGCTGTACCATAAGCTACAGTAGACACCTTCATAGCTACTTATTTTTTTACTCTAAGAACTCTCAAAGTTGAAGGCACATTTCAGAATGGCATTAAGTGGTTGAAAATTGACATTCAATTAGAGTGATTTTATATTATTTTCTCTGTGGCACTGCAAAAGCTTTTACTCTTTGTTCCTTCACATTTTGACAGGGTTTACATAAACATATATATTTTTAATTCAAACAAACTTTGCATTACACAACAGAGCAGGTTGTTGAGTTGCTTGGTGGACTTGTGATCAGTTTGTATTTTGTGTTAGATGACTATTTGGAGTTCAAAGACAATTGATTATTTCCTGAAAACAATTTCTGAACATTAGTTTCTAGGTAAGTTATAGCACTCTCAGCTTAACTCTCAACTCTCAGCTTAAGTCTCAATGCTCAACATGACTCCGGTCTTGAAACAATGTATAACTTTTTGGACAGATCCAATTTTTTTTTTTATATCAAAGTCTTTTTATGGATTTTTTTGGTTTCAAAACACTATCACTAACACAAATAGAAGCACTGACAGTAGGTGTTCCTGTCTCGTACCGCGTTACAATTCAAAGTAGCTGGATATGTTAAAGTAAGTGCGCATTGCCGCCTTTGGGGATATATATATCAACTTCACCTTTCTGCAGGTCTAGAGGCAGACTTCAATGATGTTGATTTGCGTTCTCTTTATACCTCTCCTCTAGTCATATATCCTTCTTTACCTTTTAACCCTTCTCCCACTTTTCTGCTTTGTTTTCTTATTTGTTTTTCATACCCATGTCCATTACATCTGAAACAAACCCAAAGCAAATTCTAATAAAGTTTTATTTATATATCAAGTGGAGCATTAAGGCCAGCCATAATGCTCTAATTTCTATGTTATAATAGCCATAATGCTATGCTTGTGAAAGTAAAGCTGTTGGGCATCACCTTGACACTCAGACAATAATTCTGAATGTCACAATGCCGGACAGGACAAGGGAGAAAAAAAAAAAACTTCACCTATGATATTAATTTAGGACCAAATTTAAATGGTTTTAAAGTCTTGAGGAGATGACCCACTTCACCCCGTCAACCACTTCTAAGGATCCAGTGAGAGTATAGCCCTATTTGCATTACCAAGGGACAACACACTATTTGTAGTAATTGTGGAGATTGTCTGTGTTGTTAATCCTGTGCGAATCGGCCACATCAGTAATTTGTAATGTGAAAATTCCACCACAAATTACTTACTCTGTTTTGTTGAACTCTGAGGTCCTGTGATTATACTAATCCCATGCAAATAGGCATCTCTGTGATTTGGACAGAAATGTGCAGGATCTGATACGTTTGGAAAAATATAGAACAAGGCTGTTTTAAATGAATATGCTTGGGCTTTTAAAAATAATTTTTTAATGTATTTTTATTTTTCACTTCGACTTTTACTTCCTTCTACTTCCTTCACCGCAGATGATGGGAGGTGCGGAGATGCACCCATGATCAACCCATCTATCCATCAATTTTATTTACTCGCTTCTTCCTTTTCAGGTAGCAGGAGTCACTGGTGCCCATGTCCAGCCAGGACTGTGAGAGAGGCGGGGGACACCTAGACAGGTCACAAGTCCATTTCAACCGGCGGAAAAGAGGACGGGAAACCGCTCATGTTCATGAGCAATTGACACATGTCCATTTGAGCTTAACGTGGCTTTTTTTTTTTTTTTTACCTCTTAAACCCGCCGGTCATTAAATACCGTAATTTTCTTTTTCACTTCAGCTTTTATGAGCTGCTACTTCCTTCATCACAGATGAAGCACCGGGTGCGCAGATGCGTACGTGCAACTGACCTATCCATACATACGTCCGTTATCTTTTACCCGCTTCTTCCATTTTTGGTCATGGATGTCGCTGGTGCCCATGTCCAGCATCACTGTGCAAGAGGTGGTGGACACCCTGGACAGGTCGCAAGTCAATTTCAACTGGCGGTTCAGCAGACTCACGGCTGATCACACACAGGGCCGGTGACAGCTGTCCATCTGAGCTTGACTTGGCTTTTTTTTTAACCTCTTTAAACCAGCCGGTCGGACCTGCCTCCTCCTCAACAAGTATCCATCCATCCATCCATTATCTTCCACTTGTTCCGAAGTCGGGTCGCGGGGGTAGCACCTTGAGCATGGAAGCACAGACATCTCTTTCCACAGTCACCTCTTGTAGCTCTTCTGGGAGGATTCCAAGGCGTTCCCAGGCCAAATGAGAGACGTAGTCTCTCCAGCATGTCCTGGGTCTTCCCCAGGGTCTCCTCCCAGTCAGACATGCCCGAAGCACCTCCCTAGGGAGGCATCCAGGGGGCATCCTTAGCAGATGCCCGAACCACCTGAACTGGCTCCACTCGATATGGAGGAGCAGCGGTTCTACTCCGAGTCTCTCCTGGATAACAAAACGTTGGTTACGTACTGTAACCCCAGATTCTATGAATATAGGCGTAGCCCTTTAAGGCTGTCGCTGATGGTTTATCCCGTTATGCGCAGCATAAGCACTGAAAAAAAATTAGTCCACGCCCACCTGCTGTGTGGGCCCCACCCGGTCCGTATAAATTACGTTAAGAGCGGGAAATCGGCTCCCAAAATAGCTTTTTTCTTCAGCCATTTAGGAGCCAGTGAGGCCCGACGCTTAAAGGGCTACGCCTATATTCATAGAATCTGGGGTTACAGTACGTAACCAACGTTCTATTTCATATAGGCTTCGCCCTTTAAGGCTGTCGCTGATGGTTTAAGGGCGAAGCGGATGTGGTCCTCGCCTCACTGGGTCCATTCGAACACAGTAAGAAGCGGAAGCTTGCCCAAAAAACGTCTTGTCACTCATCTCCCCGTGTGCATAAACTACGCATCGCGTAATTATGTGCCATGCACAGACGCATGTTGTGTAACTATGCGTTCTGACAAACATGAATACCCCGGAAAAACTTTCAACATGAAGAAGAAGTTGAAAAAAGGGGGGGGGGGGGCATGAACCAACTGGTTCATGGCTGAACAGTATAAACAGATTAATGTCCATGAATTGATCAATAATCAAATGAACTGATTGTTAACAATAATCATGAACTGATTAGTGACAATAGAACCAAAATCACAGACACGACTGTGACTGAAAACAACATCTCACACTGTAATGCATGCAGACAGAAGTGAGTTTAAACAGAGTTCCATGAGAACAACAATATTCATTCTGTTAGGGCACTAAGGACAGAATGTGTCATGGAACGAGCCGTTACATCACGTAGGTAAAAGCGAATAAATGAGCAGGGTGTTGACCATGCAGCCGCAGTGCAAATGTCCTGCATTGACATACCATTATGCAGAGCAGTCGAAGATGCGATACCCCTGGTCGAGTGTGCTTAGAGGTTGACAGGAGGCCCTAAATCTGATGCTCTGTAGGCTTCAGAAAAAGGCCTCACACAGCCAGTGTGACAAGCGCTGGATGGATAACGGCGACCTGCAGAAGCATCTCTATAATGCACAAACAATTGTTGAATTTGAACGCATTGCAGCTGTGCGCGTTACGTAACACGTCAACGCCTGCATCGGGCAGAGAAGATTAACAGATGCTTCCCCTTCTGATCTGTGGGGGGGAAAAGACCCCTCCAACGACATCACTCTTGATTTAAAAGAGCTCGTGATGTTTTAGGCATAAAAGCTGGGTTGGTCTTAAAACAGCTGAGCTGCCCGTCAGCCTAATTCTAAGGCATGACGAAACAACAGAGAGGGCAGATAATTACTTACCCTCTTAGCGGGTGTTAAAACCAGCAGCAGGACTGTTTAAAGAGACAAGAATTTAAATGAAAACTGATCCAGAGGCTCAATTGAAGCTTTGATCAGGGCTCGCAGGACCAGCGTTAAATCCCACTGTGGAACAAGTGGGCATGAAACAGGCCTACATCTCTGAACACCTTTTAGAAACCGCTTCATCAGCGGGTGATTAAAAGCTGTTCTGTCTCCAAACCCTTTGTGGCAGGAAGAGATGGCTGCAACGTACGTTAAAGCGTACTGAAAACCAACTCCCTATCCATCAGGTGTTGTAGAAAAACAACACGCTGCCTAAAAAGCATGAAGTGGTCTCTAAACCTTCTCTGTACACCAGCGCTGAAAAGCCGTACCCTTGATGTGTACAGAACTGTGGTAGATGCAGCACGTGAATCTTGAATTGTGCACACTATCTCCTGAGGGAGACCCATCCTCTAAGTGGGACCGCTCAGCGGTCAGAC